ATGCCAACTAACTAGATGGATTTTTCTCTCCTCTTCCCAACCCCTCCAAAGAAAATTCCTTTGAAGATTTTCAAGTTTTTAACAATTTTACTTGGGATAGGAAGAGAGAGAGAGAAAATAGGTAGGTAAATTAGATAAAGTGCTCTTAATCAAAGTCACCCTCCCACCAGTAGGCAGATATTTTGCCTTCCAAGATGCAATCTTTCTTTCCATTCTTTCAACTACCGGATCCCAAATTGAGGACTGTCCACTATTTGCACCCAGAAGAAGACCCAAATATTTGACTGGAAGAGAACTAGTCTGACAAGCCAAGCTCTCCGCACAATCAACTAAGTTTTGAGCCTGCCCCACTGGAATGACTTGACTTATGTTCCAATTGACCTTTAGGCCAGAAACCACCTCAAACCAAGATAAAATCCCCAGAACTAATTCCACCTGAGAGGGGGGGAATCATACAGAAAACACAAAGTATCATCTGCAAATTGGAGAATATTAATCCTTTCCCCCCCGGAGCCATCTCAAAACCTTCCCACTCCCCAGATTCAGCAGTCTTTTTACAAAATAATGTGAGAATCTCCATTACACATATGAAGAGTAAAGGAGATAAAGGATCACCCTGTCTAAGACTCCTAGAGCTCTCAAAAAAACCAGTTGTCTAACCGTTGACCAAAACAGAAAATTTGGTGGAGGTGATACACACTTTGATCCAGTTCCTCCATTTCTGCCCAAAGTTCATCTGCTTCAACACAAGATCAACACAACGCCAATTGACGTTATCATATGCCTTTTCAATGTCAAGCTTGCAAATCAGACCTGGAGATCACACTCTTATTCTCGAGTGAATCAGTTCATTAGCAATAAGCACTGAATCAAGCATTTGTCTTCCCGGAACAAAAGCACTTTGAATATTTGAAATAACACTCCCTAAAACCCCTTTCATTCTCTTAGCAAGTACTTTGGCTAAGATCTTGTAGAAACTGTGCAGAAGACTAATCGTCCTGAAGTCTCTTATGTTCACTGCACCTTCAATCTTTGGGATGAGGGTGATAAAAGTAGTATTCAGACTCCTTTGTAATGAACCTCTTTCAAAGAAATCATGGAAGACATTCAAGGTATATTGTCTCACAAAATCCTAGCATTTGATATAGAACAGGTTTGTAAGCCCATTTGGCCCCGGGGATTTATCATCTGCCAACATCTTAATTCCTGCCTTAATTTCCTCCTCTGTAAAAGGTCTCTCAATAGATGAAGACTGAACATCACTTAGCTGCTTAAATTGAAGAGCCCTAGGAAAAGGTCTGAAAACCCAATCTTCCTTATAGAGCTTTTTGTAGAAACTGGATGCCACTCTCTTCATATCTGCCTCCGTTTCCCTCACCCTACCCTCCCCTTCTAATCTAGAGATAACAGAAGCTCTAGCTCTTGCATTAGCCATTTTATGAAAAAAAATGTGTGTTTCTGTCCCCCTCCTTTAACCAACACACTTTAGCTCTCTGTCTCCACTTAATCTCCTCAGTCACGGCCAACTTATCACAATTCACCTTAGCCTGAGATCTCTTCCTTCTGCATTCCCCTGATATCGGGCCCAGTTCTTCTGCTGAATCAATTTTCTTAATAATGCTCAGAAGAGCCTTCATTTCCGTTTCTAGGTTCATGTTAATCTCTAACTTCTAGATTTTTAATCTTGCTTTAATGGCCCCTAGTTTTTTTGCCAAAATGAAGGAGTTGGGTACCCGTAACCTATAGTTCATCCCACACAATTCAGCAAAGAAAACAATTAGCTTCTTCAAACTAGGCATTTTCCATTTTGAAAGGAGTTCTAACTGAGTTTCTGATACCACAAACTAGCTGAATTGGAATGTGATATGAAACTGGTCTAGGAAGGGCAATCTGCTTAAAGTTCGGGAAAATTTCATCCCAATTTGAAGAAACCAAGAACCTGTCTAGCCTCACAAGAGTGGGAACCTCTTGATTATTAGTCCACGTAAATCGATTCCCTTGGAGAGGTAAATCCAACAGGTCAAACCTGTCGATTCCCTTGGAGAGGTAACTTGGCCAGACACAATTTTATCAGAGATTTAATCTCATCCACCCGCAAAATCGGCCCACTTGTCCCAATTTTCCTAATTGTCCCAATTTTTGAATTTTGAAAATCTCTCCCTCCCAAATCTTCAGTCGCCCCATCTGGACCCTYCGTCCTATTAAGAATCGGGCAACTCGGATTAGAACGGAGCCTGTTATCATCTTCTCTTCCAGCGACCGCCGGAGACTTCAATCTAGCACAAAACTCCTAGTTTATCTCGGACGACCTCAGTTGGGTATTATCATTAATACCTTCCAGCACCAAGGTATTCGAGAAATCCGAGCATGCTTTCTCCACATTCCCGGACCTCCCAAGTCCCCCTTCACCCCCTCTCCATCTACTAACAGAAGGTAAGATTTCCGGCCAGATTTGGACGGAAAACAAAATGTCATTTTCAATAACTTCAACTTTGTTCGGAATGACCTCCATCCTTCGGACCCTCATTTTTACCCATTCACAGGTAGCGATCTCTGGAGGAGAGTCATCCGTCTCAATTAAACTGCCACAGACGTTACCAATAGCTTTTATTACATCAGGACACCAGAGAAGAAGGGGAAGACCGAACACTCTGATCCAGATCGAGTCCATGTCCATCCCTTTGGCAAAAGGGTCTGGGTAAAAACATCCTGCACTCGCACCCCACCAGTCTAGCAGAAGTGAGTTCCTCCCCATTTGCCAAGTTCCATTCCGTAGAACCCAATCAGCATCGTCTCTCGAAGGATAGATGAACAGGAAAAGATCATCTACCATTTTCTTAACTCTTATCCCTCCCACCTCTCTCCAAACTTTACTCACCCACACCTCGACTTTAGAAATCCCCACCCCCCACTGGAACCTTCTAGCTAAACAATTTCTCAAGAGCTCCCTTCTTGCTTCCACCGCCTATGGATTTGTGACCACTGTCCATTTTCCATCCAGCTTTTTCACTTCCGCCAGCCCAAAACCAGGCTACACACCAGCCGCCACCGCTTTGCTATAGGAGAAAATTTCCCTAGTCTTCGCATCTTTCACCTCTCTATGATACTAGCTATTGGCATCCCACCTCTTCTTCCCACCAGTAGAACTTCACTTCTCCGACCACACCAACTTCAGAAGGAGCAAAGCTTACCACTAGAGATAGGAGAATCCCACATCGAAGAAGGCATGCTCATCGGAGTACATGTGGAAAATTTCCCCAATAACATATTAGAACAGCCACTTAAAGCCCCACGTAGATTCAATAGAACTAGAACAACCACTCAATCTAGCCTTGTATCTTACTGCCGTCCCATCAACTTTATGCTTCACTGAGAACACCCACTTACATCCCATTGGCTCTTTTCCTTCAGGAAGATCTACCAACTCCCAAGTGCCATTATTGTGTAGGGCTTTAACTTCTTCCTTCATTGCATCTGTCTATTCAGGTATTGATTAGGCTTCTACCACATTCTTAGGAAGATGAACACTGTCGAGAGAGGTAAGAAAGGCACGGAATGAAGGAGAAATATGATCATAAGAAATACAGTGAGAGATAGTATGATTAGTAGTACAAGATCTAACACCCTTTCTCTTAGCAATAGGAACATCTAGGTCATCAATAACAAAGGGAGTTATATCAAGGGAATCAGGCATATCAAGAGAAGCATTAGTACTTGGCTGAGTGCAATTTGCCTTTGAAAGGTCTGGTGGTGTCGTGGCGCAACTTTAGGTTGTTCCATGGCTCTTGAACTCTATTAGTTTTTGCAGCGGTGGAGGAAAACACGAAATGGAGGAGGATTAGGAAGAGGAGGAAGTTGAACTTGAAAATGCTTTTCCTCAACCCTACTCTCCTCTGAGGAGAAACAAGAAAGAAGGGTTCATTTTTAGAAAAAAGGCACATTCATGGAGACGCAATACTTGCCTGAAGTAGGATCAAAACACCACTAGCCCTTTTGAGACGATGGATAGCCCAAAAGAGCATAAGGGGTTGCACGTGGATCAAGCTTACCACGAGCAGGAGAAACATCATGAACAATGCAACGACACCCAAAAACACCCATAGGAATGGAAAAAAGGAGCTTTGGGAAACAGAAGTTGATGTGGGGCCTTGTACTCTAGCAACCGAGAAGGCGTACGGTTGATGATATATGCCGTGGACATGATAGTATCTATCGAGAAACATTTAGGAACATGCGTATGTAATAATAATCCACGAGCAACCTCAAGAAGATGACAGTTTTCCCTTTCTGCAACACCATTTTTTTGAGGTGTTTTAGCACAGGAACTACGGTGGAGAGATCCATGGGAATATAAAATAGGTAGTATGGTGTATGTTCTAACAGATGCACCATAATAGAGTACCTGCATATTACTGAAATATTTATTTGTGCTCTCCTTCTCAAGCTGGAACATTGATGTTGCACAAACCCCAAATTATTTCATCAAAACCCAAATTTTTGACACATTTATATAGTATGCTACATATCTTGTGAGATATTTGAACACAATTTATTTGGTGTAAGTGTGAAAATATATATGTAGTTGGAATAGACCGAGTAACATCTAAAAATCAATAAATGTGATAATATATTAAAGTTGGAAACAAGGGTATTCTGTCCATATGGGAATGTGATCATATGCATACAAGACAATGTCAAAGACAATGAAAGGTAACAGAAATTTTGTGGCTCTGTTCTGCAGTTGAAAACAAAACTGCAAGGGTGAAACTCTTTTTTCTCCCTTTTCCTTTCAGATTAAGCAAATTTATGCCAAATATATAAGCAATCTGGTTGGTTTCTCTAAACTACATCGCTTCAAAGCTTTTTTCTTATTACTGTTTGCTATTTCTTTCTCTAGTATTAATTCGGTTAACAGGGAACAGTGGCATTTTTAGTTCAAAATATCTTTCAGGAGGAATTCTTAAGGTTGCTATTCGGTCCTAAATATTCCCATTTGACAGCTTGCACAGAAAGAGTTGCAAAAGATTAACATGTATAAGGCACCAAGGGACAAACTTGTTTGTATACTCAGTTGTTGCAAGGTTATCAACAATCTATTACTCAATGCTTCTATTGCTTCAAACGAGAATCCTCCTGGAGCTGATGAATTTCTTCCTGTTCTTATTTATGTTACCATAAAGGTAATCTCAGTATCCATAGTTTCCTGTTTACTTAATTTTCATGACATTGTTAATTTTTCTTTCTTTTTCATAATACATGCATGCACATGCACACCAGATTCATCAAGGGCATTTATGGTATAAACATGTGCATTTCAATAAAATTGAAGGATTGTATTTATCAGGTCTCCAAATGAATTTTGGAAGGATGAGGCAATGTTGACCAAGGTGATAGTCTCACAATTTATGAGAATATGATGTTTTCCATGAATACTTTCTTTTCAAAAACACTTAAATATATAATTTTGTAAGTGCAACTAAGACTGATACGATGTAGTCTTTTAGTTCCTCAGGCCCCTCAATGCCAAAATGGTGGCATTCTAGCTTCTTTCAAAAATTGTGACATCATGGAATTCTTAAAATACTTTCAAAATCATCTTTTATAATTTCCTCCTTTGGCAAATCCTATTGATAATGGATTCTTTGACTTCCTCCTCTACTAGGGGTCTTTTAGTTACTTGGCTTGAGTAGCTGTTAAAAAGGCAAAATCTGCACCATCTAACATAGGCCTGTCCATCTCTTCAAGTCTTCATATACAAATTTGAGTAGTAAATTAGAAACCAATGGTTATGTTTTCAATATTTTCCTGTTCTTCCACCATTAGTCTCTTTATCTGTTCTCTCATCATGTTACATTTGCACTTTGGTGGAAGGTTTAGTGTTGCTGCCCCCTTTATTTAGCGAAGCCACACTTGAGAGTTTTCTGCACTTAACCTCCTGATAGGAAAACTTTCTTATCTTAATCAAGTTTGGCCTGCAACCATCAGTTCTTATTCCCAACAATTAGACCTTATTCTTCCTTTTCGTCTACTTCATATAGTGTCTTCAGATGTTCACTTTCGTATTTTCACACCTTTGAATACTCTTTATTCCATGTCTTTACTTTCTCTTTTTAGTTTGTTCAGCTTTTTTGTTTATAACATATCCTTGAAAGGAATGACCTAGTATGGTTTCAACCATTGCTGAACAAGGTTAATTAAACCTTCCTCTTCTAACATGTACATAGAGCTGAACAGTGGTGGTTTCCTACTGACACCCTGAACATCCAAAAGCAAGGGGATATGGTCAGATAAATGACCTAGGTAGTGCTTCCTGAATCGTATTTTGGCATCTTTATTAAAACTATGATACCCAGATACCTATACATGTCCAGCATACTGGTGTTGGACACGTTACTGACTAGATACAATTACAACACTGGATAATGCATGAGGACTGAGAGAGGATATGAAAAATGGTATATTATAACAAATTATACTATACAAAATATGTACATGTTAGCTTGTCCTCATCTGGGAGATGTTCCAATTCCCATATCTAATTTTTTACAAGTGCATTGATTTGTTTCCACCATTGGATTCCTTCTACTCAAGCTTACTCATAGCCTCCTACACATTTTAGGTTATAGGAATAACAAAAATAGAGGACACAAAGTTGTGGTTGAAGTACATGGATGAAAAAGAAGTAGCATTTATTGAGAAAAGTTGAGACAGCTTATATTCTTTACTTCTTGTCTCTTATGTTGTGTTATGTATTAGTCTTTTATTCATTGTTTAGATCAAACTCTTTCATGCAAAACAGTCAATCAGTGCAAGAGGATTGAGTTTGGTGTGACAATTTGAAAATTGGAGAAAATAAGGCTTATTTTAACCAAGTGGAGGATGGTTATATCTGGTGCATAACAAAGTTTGTTAACAGAGATAGAGAAGTTGGTGAAGAAAGAAATAGAGCTGAGTTGAGTTTGAGTAGGGTTCTGGGTGATTCTAGTGGTGCAAAGAAAATCGTTGGAAAAGAGAAAAAACAAGGTGTTATGTCTTGGTCAACAGACGAGCTTCAAGATTACAGTAGATGAGATCCAAAGGAAGTGATCTGAATGGGAAGCAGGGTTAAAGTACTAGATTTGAACAGTCAAGCTTTTATCTTGTCAAGAAAGGTGTTTGCACATTGAATAAAATAGGTGACAAATCTCTTCTTGAGGTTAGTCAGGATGAGGGGGTAAGTGCATGAGTGGAGTTAAGGGAGGGGAGACAAGATGTTTTAGAGGGAGAGGGTGTAAAAAAAGAGGTGAACAATGGGAGAATGAAAAGAAAGTGATGAATTGGGGTACAAATGAGGAGTTTAAGAATAATAAATGTTTTGATGTTGAGGAGTTGTGGGTGAAGGCGTAAAAGGGGGGAGGGGGATTATTTGTAGGAGCCTAGGAGGAGTTAAGTTGAGGAGAATAAAACTTTAAATTTATTTGTAGGAGCCTAGGCGTAAAAGTGATTGGGAAATCACTTTAAATTTATTTTTTATTTTTATAAAACTTTATTTTACATTAAAAAATATAATGCCATTATCAAATTGGAAAATTACTTCAAAATCACCTTTTGACCCTATCACCATCTCATGGAATTTACCTATGAATCTTATCACCATTGGGACACCTTAGAAAGCAATTTCTAGACTTAATAAGCTTTTAACGCTCCTTGGAAGGAAACACTACAAAATATCCACCTATTGTGGTAAAAGTTCCAATATGATTATTGTGGAGAGTTCATGTCTTGATGTATAGTATTACTATAGTCCCTGTTGTACATTATTGTTTTATTCTATATTCTTTGTTTTTTTATTTTTTTTTCCTTTAGCCCTGTATGGGCATTCTCTAATTGTACGTTTCTTTAATATATAAAGGAGACTCTTTGGGGTGGAGGTTGATTCATTCTACGCACCCCTAATTTTGTTTTAAGCTCTTTCTCTATTTCTGTTAAGAGGGTTAACATGGTATCAGAGCAAGTCCTCTACACCTGCTTGTGATCTAGGTTTTTCATTCAAGATTGAAGGGTGTTGTTAGGGACTTTCAAATCTGTGTTTGATCTCTATGTTGGAGATATTTGAGGGTTGTTTCAAATTTTCAATCAGCACAAAGCCCCTGTTTTTTTTCCTGGGAAAGGTGCCTATTGGGAGGGTTAGGATCCATCATATTGATGGCCGAACCATGCTAGATGGTTGGGCCAAATTTGAAAAATTTTCTAATCCTTCTAGGAATCGAATTCCCTATGTTTTGAAAAATTGCATTTTTCAGGATCGGTTTTGCATTAATAAACCGCACCAGATATGAAACCAATCAAAGAGAGAGATCTATACCTAATACGGATACCACAAAGCAGCCTCCACTGAAGATGGCACAGTGTATAGGTGAAGCTGATTCAGCAACACAATTTTCAGCAAAACAACAACCCAACTGCTTGGATCGAACTGGGGAAGGTGAGCCTGAAATTTCTCTGAATTTTTCTTGCAAAAATCAGAAGAAAACTGATCTCTATTAGTCCTTGGAAACCTAGGTCGTGATAGGGTTTCTTGGAAGACAAAAGAGAAGAGAGAACAAGAGAGAATGGTGTTTTAGTCAAGTTCGCCCTCTTCTTCTTTTATCTCCTTACGGAGCACTCTCCCAATCAAATTAGGAGATTATCCAAATCTAATTTGGATTCACTCCATACCCGTTTCCAAACCCAAATTTGACCCAGAGCAAGTTGTCATGTGACAACTTACTTAACCTTATTAATTATGGGCCTTAGGCCCATTTCCTTCAAATGCTCACAACCCAAGATGTTGCATGGCYGACTTAGGCCTGATTTGTATGGCGTGGGACCCTACAATGGCCTCACATAAATCCACATGGGTTCAACTCAGCCTCTGTGAAAAGGCTTGGTCGAATTCACTGATAAACGAAATGAACCCTGAGCACATCACAATGGGCTCAATATGGGCCCAACATTTACACTTGAATGATCATTGAATTCAGCCATCCTATGAAGACCCAAGGATAATGAACTTAAGTAAGACAAAGCCCATTAGGTAATCAGCCCTTAATGGTCTCTTACACTTAACCTCTCGACCCATAATGATTACAGCACTGCTTGACAGGGAAGGACCTCTCCCTTGGCTGCATGGTACAATATCACACTCTTTGCTCAGGTGGGTCCCGGGAATTAAAACATTTTGCAAACATTTTTCATAAAACATAATATATATATATATATAAATATATTTTGCGAAACCAAATCTCAAACACAGTTAAAATCCACTGCCGCAGTTTAGGTTTCCATCAGAGAGACTGTAAGCCCTATCATTCACTTTGTCTGACAAAGGGGTCGATCCTATCACTATGATCACCCACTCAGATGAATTCTCAGACTGCCCCAACATACCCAAGTTTGACCAATGATGGATCTCACTAATTGACATATCAAAGACAACCCAATCCAATACCTATTGCAGTAACATAATCAAGTCTAGGGRTTATGTGTAACTTTCTAGTTTTGCCATCAATCTCCAAGGTCCAGGGCATAACTGGAAAATGGTATGAGTTCAGTGTTTCATCCAAACACACACTGCATGTGCTTTGGGGGTCTAACCCTAGCAATTGAAACAAGCTGCCCCAACTTCTTTGGCATCACATTAGTGTCAGTCTTGGCAGGATAAACACCCAAAGTCTATCCAACAGCTGAGAACATTCTAAACTAACACAAGTCTCATAAGTGTCCAGTTTAAGGGGTAATTACACAAAAACATACCAATATCAACATGAAACAATAATGTACTTTTATTCATTTACAATAAATGTGTCATACCAATACACTGTCTAACAACGTCTAGTAGGTTGGTAAATCATTATCTTCTTTAAAACGGTTGAGCGAATCATTTTGTAACTCTAGATCTGATGTCACCCTAGGGTCTTCTTGCATTCCATTGACATGGTTTAGATTTCATTTTGTTCCTAGAGTGTTTTTGATCCCTTTTTCTATTCAATATCCTGAAACTTACATTTTTTTTTGGACCATCAATGCTTAAGATTTTGTTTGCTAAAGCTGTTTGAGGTGTTTCTGGATATTTTTTGATTATTCTTAGTGCTGGAATATTTCGAAAACACTTTGGACATAAGTGGATTGAAAGACTTTTACCTTATCTTGCTTATTGGAT